AGAGGCCGGTGCCCCGGGCTGGCCCCTCCGCGGGGCCACCAACGTGAACAGCCCCCCGCAGGGACGGCGGGTGGCAGGACCCCGGCTGGGACACTGGGAGCTGCATGGAGGGACAGGCCCTCCCGTGCGGGGAGCGGAGGGGAAAGGCAGCCCCCGTGATGCAGCCCCATGCTTTGCTCAGAGGCTGGAACCAAGGCTGGGACACGGGTGTCCCCGGCCTTCCCCACTGCTGGGAGAGCAAACCTGAGGCAGGAGCTGCCCAGGGGGACACCCGGCTGCACGGAGAGCCCAGGCTGTGCCGGCCCCCCAGGTGGGACCCGCTCACTGCCAGCTCCTTGCAGGGGATGAGGGAGTAGGAAAAGGCTTAAAAGTTGCTGCCGTTTCAGTTCCTGACCGGTTTCCTCTCCCGTTTTTTGCCTGCCCACAGAAATAGGCCCACATGTGCACACACATGGCTGGATGCGGGGGCACACTTACACATGCACACACGTATGTACACATGTATGTACTTGTAAGCACACACACACACACCGGCAGGCACGGGACGCAGGCCAGGTGGGACACGGGCTCTTTTCCGCGCTCCGCTCGTGCTGGTGGAGCCTGGCCCCAGGCTGATCCCCAGTGGGCAGCGCAGGCGCCCAGCGAGGCAGAGAGCAGCCAAACCCATCGCTTGGGGACAGCGAGAAGCCACCAGCGGTCCCAAACCCCCAGCCCGGGGCCGGGTGCCCCCCGCACCACACGTCCTTGCGGCAACACGGGAGGCCGCGTTCGCTTCTGCCATAAAACACGCTGCCGTCGAGGGCACCTGCGATTAGGTTTCTGGTTCTCTATTACTAGACTTTTAATGTTTAACTAAATAGTGACACAGCTGCAGCTCCGAGCCCCCGAGGCAAAGCAGCTGGAGCTGGGAGGGACAACCCAGCTCCTCCACGCGCCGCTGCCCATGGTGCAACCCCGGCGCTGCAGGAAACCTCTCCAGCCCGGCACAACCTCCACACTCCCCTCCCCTTCCTCGTTCCCCTGTGCGTTATCTCTCCCTAGCAGGCAGGAAAGCCGACAGAAAAACAGAAGAAAAATCTGCTCACCCCAACTTTCTGCTCCACTGCCGGCTGTTTTACAGCTTGCACGTGCTGCTGAGCACGCTTGCCCAGGGAGTCCCCCAGGGCAACCCCGCGTTCAGGACACTTTATGGGGGTCCAAAGCTCGGAGGAGCCAATGTGTAACACGGGTCGGGGGCACGGGGCTGCTTCGTGCCAGGGGCCGGGTCCTCGCTGGAAACACCTGCGGGTTCCTGCGCGCCGGGCCCAGCACCAGGGGTAAGTGCGAACACAGCTGCTCTGTGAGCGAAAACAAGCGGAGCGGCGAAGCCTGGTCCACAAACGCCCCCGGCACAGAGCCCTCGGCCCCGCGGCAGCTCCCTCACCCGGCCGGGCTCTTCCTGCGTGCAGGAAACAAAAGGGAAAATAATCACAACAGAATAAACGCACAAACGTGCAGGGACACAGCGTGTGCAGGGCACAGGACGAGCGCCAGGAGACTTTGGGAGCCTTCTGCCTGCCCCGGTTTTCCCCGCACCGACACAGAGCAGGGCTGCCCGGGAGGACGCGCAGGGCAGCAGCCCCATCCCGGTCCCGCTGCTCCTTCCCTGCAGCCAGCGGGGCTCCGCTCTGCTCCTCAGCTTCCCACCGTGAGCACGAGGAGCGCGGCAGAAACCCGGGACGCAGTTTGTGCTCCTTTTGCCTCTTTAGGGTTTCTAAAAACCTCACAGAGTGGGAAAACAGCCCCAGCACAGCTCGGGCCTAGCATTTTACACCTGTAAACATCAACTCACGGCACTTGGCTGCCGGCAGTACCTCCGTGTCCGGCGGAACTGCACAAGGCCCTTGGCTGCCAAGGCAGGAGCAGCAACAAGGGGGTCTGGCAGGGGCCTCACGCTGGTCCCCGTGAGGCAGCCCCAGGGCAGAGCAGCAACCCCCCTGCTCCGCGGGGACGCGCGCCCGCTCGGCCCCTCAGACGTGCAAGGAACTGAGCGACGAAATGTGCGGAACATCCAGGGCAGCACTGAAGCTCTTCAGTTCTCTTCTCAACACAGCCGCTGGGAATTCTCAGGGCAGAAAACAAGAAAATGAGTTCCCCAGCTCCCCTCCTGTGGCTTCGCAGTGGGGCTGTGCTATGGGGAGACGGGTCCTGCCCCTGGGGGCAGGCGGGGGAGCCCGGGCGCTCCTGCCACCACCGCACGTATCCCCTGAGGACGAGGCCTCCCGCAGCCCAACCGCAGCCCTGCGTGTTCGAGCGCAGCTAACGCGCAGGATCAAGCGGCTTCCGAAGGGCGCCCTGGCCCTCGGCGCGGATGCGAGGGAAGGGCAGAGCGGCACGTGCGCCCTCAGGCCACCCTGCTAGGATCAGCCCGAGTTCCCCCTCCCGACACGTGCGTGGCCCAAGCCCGAGACTGGCACCCCCCAAATCCCGAGATTGGCGCCTTGCTCCCCGTTGTGCCGCTCGTGTCCAGCCGGGGCTGCAAAACCCCCGTGAAGCCAAAGAGGAGCCCCAACACAGGCTGCCCCGAGGAAACTGCCCAGGGCTCACAAAAGGACACACGCAGGCGAGTTATCAGAAAAGGCGTTATATTTTGGTTTCCAACTTATTTAAAACTGATTTTGGTTTTCAATCAAATCAAATCTGAGTATGTCCGAGTTCAGTTTTCATTTTTTTTTTCTTCCCCTGTGACAGTAATGATCTGGATGACCATAATTATAAAAGGGAGAGGGGAGAAAACCCGAGCACAAGACACATCGTCTGAACCGTGCTCCCTTCCGCGCGAGCACTCCCGGGAATGTGAGTGTCAGCTCTTCCTTTTTTTTTTTTTTCCTTTTTCTTTTTTCCCCTTCGGGTTATTACTAACAAAATCTCTACCGTTTATTAAAGCAAAGCTACAGTAAATTTTCTTGCAGTCTTACAGCAGGTTTTCATATTACCAGTAGGACTCGCATGCATGGATTGCAGTCACACACACACGCTCACAGACATTATACAGTAGCCAGTTGCCACCATTAAAAAGAAAAAAAAAAGAAAACAAAAAAAAAGAAAACAGACATTCATTTCCTCTAAGTGGTCAACATTAAACTGCACCAAACATTTGGATCAAAAGAGAAAAAAAAATACTGCACAGGTCTTCCACATCTACACGGAAAGTCATCCCTTCGCAATGGACGGAGCTCTCGTCTCCATTTGTTCAACATGCATCGCTGAAGCTTGAAGGCACGCTGGCCAAAGAGAGCCCTGTTCTTTATTTGTCATCTTAACTCGAGTGTGCTGCTCTCGGGGTGCAAAAATAAGGGAAAAAAATAAAGCCAAGCCCTTTTGCAGCACACCGGGAAAAGGTCGTTCGGAGACCACAGTACTTGGAAGGCAGCCCAGCTGCCTGGAATCTACCTCTAACTGTGCTCTTGGAGGCATTGGAGGAATACATTTGTCTTGAAAAATTACAAGTAAAGGCAAACTTTTACAAACCTTCTTTCCAAACAGCTTGTAACGGACTAACGCTCCTTCTGGAAGAAACTGGTCCTTCAGTTACCAGCTTCAAGTGGGAAACTTCCTACCTGCTGTCTTAAACACTGAAGCACCAGAGGTTACAGGGCTGATGTGTTCAGTCATTCATCAGCTTTGGGAAAAATTTAATGTCATCAACACCAACAACAAGAGTTGAAGTAGAAAGGAATCCGCAATGCCTCAAGAGCACTAAACCAAGCCAGAACTCTTGGGCTACTGCCTGCCGGCACTGTCAGAAGCCGCCTGCTTCTGGGAAGACACCCGGAGGTCGGAGCCTTGTGGTGATTCTCGCATCCTCCCAGGGTGAGATTTGCTGAGCTTTATTGATTGCGAGACCAAGCAGTGTTTTGGAAAACTAAACCCAACAAACTGATACTAACCGTCACCAGGATCACCATCGGGAAAGTTGCGTTTGTCAGAGGGTCTCATGGAGAAACAGTCCCCGCCTCGTGCAGCTGCGGGGACACCATTAACCAACTCGAAACCCAGTGCAACCCATCCCTCACAAGCCAGGCCCTCGGGGATAGACAGTCCCCGACTTCTATTGGAGGGGGAGGAAAGAAAGAAAGCCAAAAAAAAAAAAAAAAAGTAAAGTTGTATCACCTTTTCCTCCTCTTGAAGTTTTAATCCTCTATTTCACCTTTATTTATTTGCTTGCTTTTCCCCAGATTCTCCCTTGCGCTCTGCCACCTTAGCTGGGGGAGTTATTGGTACGAGAGTTTGGAGAGTCCTGCTCGTTTATTGTGTTCAAGAGTACGCACATCGGCTGCCGGGGCAGGTGGTGGTGGCTGTGTTCGCGGTGCTGCTCCTCCGAGGCGCTAAAAAGCCCTTCCTCCTCGTCCCCGTGCGGGCGGCCGCTGCAGCTGTCGCAGAAGTCCAGGGGCCCATCCAGCGCGTCGTCGATGAGCCCGTCCAGCTCCTTGAGGTCGTCGTCGTGGTGGCCCCGGTTGCAGACGCAGACCTCGATGCCCGAGTCGCCCGTGAAGCGGCGCTGCCGGCCCGGCGTCTTGTCCTTGGCGTCGGGAATGGCGCCGCCCTGCTCCAGGCTCTCGGAGCTGTACCCCTTCAGCAGTCCCTCCTTGCCCTGCGCGTCCTTCTCGGGAGCAGCCCTCTCCTCCAGCTCTGCT